GATGCTGAGCATCGTTTCATGTGTCTGTTGGCCATCTGGATGTCCTCTTTGGAGAAGTGTCTGTTCATGTCTTCTGCCCATTTCTTCACTGGGTTGTTTGTTTTTCGGGTGTGGAGTTTGGTGAGTTCCTTATAGATTCTGGATATTAACCCTTTATCTGATATGTCATTTGCAACTATCTTTTCCCATTCCGTTGGTTGCCTATTAATTTTCTGGGTTGTTTCCTTGGCTGTGCAGAAGCTTTTCATCTTGATGAGGTCCCAACAGTTTATTTTTGCTCTTGATTCCCTTGCTTTTGGGGATGTGTCAAGTAAGAAGTTGCTGCGGTGGAGGTCAAGTACTGTTTCTTTTTACATCTGGATTGCTTTGTCCCCTCACCTCCTTCAGGTCTTTATTCAAATGTCACTCAAAGGGTGACATTTCCTTGGCTCGATAAATTGCAAGCCCCCCCCCCATTTACATAATTCCCTGACCAACCCAGTTTTCTGCTTTATTTTTCTCCTAACCCCATAGCAACCTATAGCATACTTTGGACTCCCCCACTGGAAAGTAAGCTTAATATGGGTAGATCGTCTTGTTAATTGCTGTGTCCTCAGGACTTAGTGTAGCACTTAATGTGCACTGAGTGCTCAACAAGTCTCTCCTCGTCCTGAATTTCTGGTCATGATTGGTTGTCTCTGGAAGTGTGGGATTAATATTCACTAGGATTTTGTGAGGTACTCCTTAGAAGAACTTGAGATTTTTTCTGTCATTTCTTGCCACATTTCTCTTTTGACAGAAGTCTTGTGCTTTCAGGTCATTGAGTGAAAGCACTCCGAAGGCAGAGAAGATGGAGCATTGGGGAATTTTTGGTATTGGTCGTCCTAGAGGAAGATTGTCTCAGATCTCATGTGACTAGAATTTTTACCTACTGTTTCAGGCTCTTCCCTTGAGGTTTGTTCACTTCTCACCATCCTTACCTCTTTGGTCCCAGGGTATTGAGTAGGCTGGTTCCCCTTTGAATTTTTCAGTAGACTGAAAATGTTAATATTTATAGCATGGGCTGTATAGGTTATATTTTTCCCCTATTCATGTGAGCCAGTGGAGCTCAAAATTTAAGATACCTTTCTCTAACAATGATGGAGTGGACAGTTTCAGGGAACATCGGATCCTTTTTTTCACAAAATCTTTTTTGGGGGCATTTTTAGCAACTAAATTCTGTATTGAGTCTGAGTATAAAAGGAACAGACCTCCTGAATTCTGTGGATTCTCCCTCATTTATTTTTCCTTTATCGATTGGTGCATTTGTTTCCTTCATTGACCCTCTGGCTAGAGTGGCCTAGATGAGGTTTCTTTTCGGGGCAGTGTTTGCTATTGTTCTCTAGCTTAGGAAGGCAAAGGGGGTGAGATACTGTTTTTAACACTTTGTAGGAATGCTAGTGGCAAAGCCTAAAGTTTTTGCTTAAACCTTTCCAGGACATTGAAAGCTGCCAGGTCTGTGAGAGAACGATTTGTGGGAGGGTGGAAGAATTGGGGATCTTGTATATATTGGACTGGATGAGCTTCTGATATTAAGGTAAAGAACAGCATCGGAAGTACAGTAGTGGTTCTTATTTTGTGAATAATCTCTGACATAATATAGGCAGACTGAGAAACACTTCTGCTGAACTTCTATTGCCCTCTTTTAAATCCTTTTCACAAAGAGTCTAGGAAGTCTTTGTCATGTTCCAGAGATAACTTGAACATCTCTATGCCATGTTGTCACCTCTTGTAGATAATACTGAGTACTGACAGTGTTTCAGTGTCGGTAACAGTTTCTGAATGATGCAGTGCTTATTCCTGTGCCACATCTCTTCATAACTCAAAGAAAGCTTTCAGGAAAAAGCACATTTTGAGGAAGGGTTAATAAGTGTTGCGTT